TGGGGGCATAATCTTGAAGAGAACAAAATAATCCCATCTTCTCAGCATGGGTTCGTAGCAGGGAAGTCCGTTACTACCAATTTGCTAGAATCCCTCAATGACTGGACAGCGGCTTTGGATGATAAGAAGTGCCTCGATGTAATTTATTTCGATTTCACCAAAGCGTTTGACAAGGTTAGCCATAGGAAGCTGTTGCACAAAATAAGTAAGCTAGGATTCCATGAGAAAGTATACAAATGGATTGGAGAATTTCTTACTGGAAGGACTTTCCAGGTTCGTATAAACAAATCCTACTCTAATATCTTTCCTTTCCTCAGCGGCATCCCTCAAGGTGGGGTTCTATCTCCTATACTTTTTAATATCTACTCGGCTGATCTTGGTTATATAGGCGTACAAAATGAAGTTGTGTCTAAGCAATACGCAGATGACCTTAAGTTTTACAAAATCATAAACTCCTTACAAGATGCACATGCCCTCCAAGCTACTATAGATAAGCTTGTTAAATGGTCCAATGACTGGCAAATTCCCGCTTTCCGCGGCAAAATCTTTTCCACATGCACTTAGGCCCTCCTTCGGAATACTCCACCTCTTATTACATTTGTCCAGAACGGGGAAACACTTCCGCTCAGAACATTTATTGGGTGAAAGCCGTCAACGTTAATTCTCACAAGCTTTTATAGGAACAGAAAATGATGCGTGTTGAAGTCATGGCAATAACATTTTTCTAATATTCAAGGCAATTTACAGCAGAAAGACAAAATATAGCTTGAGTCATTTAGCTATTAGTCGGTCAAGGTATTTCAAGATGAAAAGTGATTCATTTGGGAGAAGCCCTAAATTGATATGAGTCAGGAAAGGAATTTCTATATGAAAACATGATCAAAGCTGATTCTATTTCTGTAGAGATACAGAAAGACTCCCAACAGCAAGCAAAAGTTCAATTCGACTTATGATGGCGCGTTCTCGAGCAGATTTTCAAAAGAAGGGTCACTATTATAAAGATAGGGAGAAGAATAAAAAATATTTCCCACACACAAACGATTCTCTACGCAACCAACTGCGCAAAAGAAGGAATAGCCATCGCTCGATATCACGATGTTATTGAAGAAAAATTTTGCTGGTTTCTAGTCTCCTGCCCATTCGGAGCAATACGATCCGAATTTCCAATGAAGCCCAACATCACGCTCTGCGGAACTTCATGCGCACTTGTTCCGAAGCTGGCCATTTCATGCCTCCTTTCGATTGAAGCGGACAGAGACTAGTTGGCAGAACTGCCTCTCGTCCCTCAACATCTCAGGAACTACCAACCAAGACAGCTATGCTCATTCGAAAAGTCTCAAAAATGCGATGATAAAAGACGAGTAGGACGCTTTCGCCAAGTTCAACTGTTTGACGACAACATACTGCTGGTGGAAGAACTAACAGTCAGGATCCAAGAGTATGTAGACGAAAAGGGATTTCACATGTGTCGACAAAAAAGGATGGAAGCGACTGCCGAAACGATCGATCACAGGAACATCGCGCTTCTGCGAAAGACATCAATGCAAGCCGAACGCTAGACTGTTCTGTGCATATGGCAACCCCATAGGCAATGCCCTCGTCAATCAACAGCTGCATACAAACTCAAAGTGGGCCGAACAGTGACGAGGCGCCGTTATTTTTGGATTTCCAACAGTCACTACAGAAGGGTCAAAGAAAAGCGGAACAAATCTCTCCTATGATTGAGGGAACATGTGCAATCGGCGGCATATCGCTACGAAGTAAAACACTGATCGAAGTCGCTGAAGTCTGTATCCGCAACTACTGCGTTTTTCTCAAGAACTTCACTTCACAGACGATCACCTTCCCCAATTCACTGATAATGTACGATCACCTCGTATCAGTTAGAACATGGAGCAACGGCAAACTGTTCAACGACTCCGATCTCGCCTGCAAAGCTCATGCCATTTGTGAAACTCTTCAGTGTCTACATCTGTTGGAAAATGCTTTGTAGCGTCCAATTGCCGAACCTACAACTCTTTATTGTAGATCCCATCATCAGCGATCTACTCCTACTCATGGCGCCAACAATTTATGTCTTGCTCAAAACAGTGCGCCTCATCGTTTACATAGCCTACGTCGTTCTACGAAAACTTCGTGCTACGTTTCCATCATCACCTGGACGACTACATCAGCCACTTCACTATCAAGTATACGAGTCAACGAAGGAGGAATCGACGGCGAACAATAATGGCGTGTACTATCCTGATACTGTTTCACCTCAACACCGTCAAAGGATGTTCAGGAAGTAATCAGTGTGACAACAAGTGAAGAAGTCTGCAGAATCGATAAGAATAAACAAACCTGCACGTTCAACCATGTGACGATAATCACGCTTCAACCTTTACAGCAGCAGACCTGCCTCACCCTCCACAGCCCACAAAAGCTACCGATGGGAATGCTAACGATCAAACCGGAAGGGGTCAAATTTCGCTGCAACAGAAAAAACGAATTCTACCACACGCGATCACGAGATCGTATCAGAGTCAGTTCACCGCTGCCATCGCGCAGGCAGTTGCCATGCAGACAGATGCCACGAAGTTAAAGAAACGGACAAGCTAAAAGAGTTTTCGGACATTCGCCAACAAAACAGTCCGCGGAATGCACCTTCTTGCTCATCAAGCTGTGGTGGTCTCACCTGTGATGGTTGTTTCTTCTCTGCATCCAGCTGCCTCTTTCACAGACTGTATGCTGTTCCAACGACATCGACAGTCTATACTGTCTTCCGGTGCCCTAGTTGGGAACTTGAGGTAAACGCAGAAGTGTCTCTACAAGGAGAAGATGAAATAATCAGTACAACCGTACGCTTGCTACCAGGACGCACAAGTACATGGAACAACATTCATTTCTCATTAATCGGCACGATTGTTCCACAGCTTTCATACTTCTATCATCCACGTTCATTACGGATGGTCAGCAAACGTCAATCATCAATCCAGCGCACGCAGGAGAACTACAAAGCCACTCTGCTGGCCAACTACAGTGTTCCTCGCACCAAGCTGCAGAACAATTTGACTGCTACTTTCCTCGTCATGCATGTACATGCACCACTGCTTTGCATAGCGCCACATGCCATGCAGCAATGGAAATATCCGCGATCACATGACTCCTCAACCACTTCCACAGGCATCGAAAAACTTTATCATCTTCCAGTCCAACGCCGATGTCTACTCACGAACAAACGTCGGATCAACTATACAACTTCAGATTGCTGCGGAAGACCTCCGATTAACGGTACCAAACACATCAGCCGATGA